TAGCTTGTCATCAGGAATGTCTCACAGAGAGAGTGTGTCTGGCCTCCAGTGAGCTATTTATATCTGTCATGCTTCCAAATGAGGTCATCAAGCTGTGACTTGATAGGCTAGACTCCACCCCCTCCTCAAGTTGACGTAGATTATGTAACTGCCACAGAAGGTGAGAAGATTGTTTTGTTAGCCTTTGGAGTCAGGGCGTGGCACTCCCTCAGACTCCTAAAGGTCAACAAACAGACCTTGAATTATTTACAGGCTTTTCTTTTTTCATCGTTGGTTTTTTGTTTTTATTGTTGTTTTGTTTTCTTTTGTTACTTTGTTTTGCTCTGTCTTGTTTTTGTGCATATTATTATCTTTGCGGGTCTATCTAGATAAGATAGGTACATACACAGTCTGGAGGAGAAAACAACAGAACCAATGGTTCTGGAGGGACATGGGAGAGGGGGAGGTGGAGGAAAGGAAGTGGGTGCTAACAAACCTAGGGACAAGGGAACAACAAGTGATCCAAAATAGGTGGTGAGGAGGGTGTCGGAGGCCTGGTAGGGCTTGATCAAGGGTAATGTAACTGAGAGGGACTTACTGAAACCTAAATGAAGGCTGAACATGACAGTGGGACAAGAGGAAAGTAAAAGGAAATAGAGGAAAGAACTAGGAAGCAAAAGGCATAATAATAATATACAAATTACCAAGGGTTCGTGAGGGAAGGAGGGTAGGGGTGGGAGGGAGGGGGAAAATGAGGAGCTGATACCAAGGGCTCAAGTAGAAAGGAAATGTTTTGAGAATGCTGATGGCAACAAATGTACAAATATACTTGACACAATGGATGGATGGATGGCTCGTGATAAGAGTTGTATGAGCCCCCAATAATAATTTTTTTAAATAAATAAATAAATAATTTTAAAAGACAATGATGATTGCAACATATGTGCTTGACACAATGGATGGGTGTATGGATTGTCATAAGAGCTGTAAGAGCCCCCAATAAAATGCTTTTTTTTTAAAGTTGTACTAACTGAACTTCCTTGTACACGTATAGATACTATCCTATCCCAGACAGTGTTCTTTCATCAAGATAGATCCTGAAATGTCCTATTTGACAATGACAGTGATGTCATCCCCCTTGAGTTTGTCATTCCTGGCAGAGTAAACTGCATGTTTGTCTGATTCAAAGTGGCCAATACCAGACATTTCAGTTCATTAATGCCTAGGGTATTGATCTTTATGCATTCCATTTCATTTTTGAGAACTTCCAATTTTCCTACATTCACACTTCATACATTCCACTTTCTAATCATTAATGGACATTTGCGACTGTGTCTTCTCTTTTTGAGTCTTGTCCCAACAGCAAAGGAAGGTCCCCAATGCTTTACTTCATCCATGGACAACACTACTCGGAGAAGGCAGCTCTTCCTGAGGTGGAATTTGAAGGGCTCATCTTCCAGCACCATCTCTGACAATGCTCTGCAACCAGCCATAGGTTTCAGTGGCTAATCCCTCAGAAGAGGGCAGCCTTGGTGCTATGTTTGGCAAGGTTCTGCTGCTGTTCATCAGGTTTCCAGTGGCCAAGACCTCACAGGTAGAAAGCCTACTCTTTCTTTGTATTCTGCTCTTAGTCTGGAAGTGTCACTAGAAGTATTTCGGGACCCTTTGTCCTGTCCAACAAAGCAGTGTTTCTGTAGCTCAAAAATCATGGGAGCTGGTGGGGAATGAGGACCACCAGACCGAGGGCACTGCACACACACATCCCACAAATGAGAACCAGCTCATACCACGCCCCAGCCACTTCAACTTCAGGACAAGCTTTGTTAGTTTTGAGGGGTGGCGGGTAAGAAAACAGCTCCCTACCACCATCATACTCCACTGTTAGAGCAGATGGTAATCTGTAGCTCTATTTCCCCCATTCTGGCTTTCGTTTTCTTTCATGCACAGAACAAATTTCAAGGATTTTTCTCTCCCCTCTTTCTTCCTGAGGTAGTAGCTGGGTGGAAGAAAACCCTTAGATACTATTGGGAGACCTGTTTTATGTCAACAGGTTGCCCTGGGATCCTTCTTGCAGCTCATATCTGGCAGATGAATTTAGTTCACCCACCAAAGTCAAAACCAGGTATTTGGCTTGTCAGACAAGGTTCTCCAGAGAACAGATATATAAAGAGATAGATGGACCTAGGTACTGAGAGAGAAATATATTCTCTCCCTATCGCTCTTCTTCCTACCCCTTCCTCACTTCCTCCCTCCTCCCTTTTTCCTCTCTGCCTCCCTCTGTTCCTTCCTTTCAAAGAATTAGCTACTGTAAGTGTGGGGTCTAACAGGCCTGAAACCTAGAAGTGAGGTGATTGGATTCCTATTACCATTTGGGGCCAAGTTTCTGTCTGCTCCAGCAAAGCCTAGGTCTGCACCCACAGTATTATGTGTAATTCCCCTGACTCCACTTGGGATCACATCTACTAAATACCTTCCCATCAGCATCCAGTCTCCTGTGTGACCAAACAGCAGAGCACAGCCCAGCTGACTAAACTCAGACTAGCCCTCACACCTGGGGTGGGGCCCTCCATCCTTCATGAGGGGACACCCCACCTGCTTCCACAGGGAGGTCTTGGGCTAGCATCTAACTCTCACCCAGAGATCCATCCCACCCCTATCCCCTCCAGAGTGCAGAGTGAGCACCAGGACACCACGCTGCAATCTAGGGGGGGCACTTTGTACTGACCTTGGGACTGCTGCCCCAAGCCCCCCAACACACACACCCCCAAAGGTAGCCTGAGGAATGAGGGAGCAGTGGCTACTTACTAACTTCTAGGACTGCCTCCCTACCCAATGCACCCCACAGATGTTCCCCTGCCCCTCCTACCCTTGTAGTCAAACATTTCCCATGCTTGCAACTTGCCTGCCTCTTCTCTCGAGCAGTATGCCATGGCCTGTCTCCGCAGAAGAGTTTTGAGAGGTTTCAGAGCTATTGGCTCAGAAGGGAGGATATAGTGGGTGTGTTAGTCCAGGTAGACTAGAGAAACAAATGCAGGGAAACTCGTGTGTGTGTGTGTGTGTGTGGTGTGTGTGTGTGTGTGTGTGTGGTGTGTGTGTGTGTGGTGTGTGTGTGTGTGTGCGTGCGCGTGTGCTTTATATATAAGAGCAATTGAATATTGAGAAGACATCCCAGCCCAGTCCAGATCAAGTCCATAAGTCTGATATTAGCCCATATTTCTGATACCAGTCTATAAATTCCTTTCCAGACTCACACACTACATGCAATGATGCCGAATGCAGGAAGATCACAGGCCAGTGCGTGGGAAGTCTTGTGGATCCAGTGGCAGTGGAGGCATCTCAGCACTGGCAGGGGTCTCCTTCAGCTCCTGAGCTATAGCGTAGATCCATGTGTCTTCTTGACAGGGATGTCTCACAGGGAGTGAGCGTGTGTCCTGCCTCCAACAAGCTATTTATCGCCTTAGTGGCTCCAAATGAGGTCATCAAGCTGCGACCTGATTGACAGGCTAAACTCCACCCCTTCACTCAATACTCTCACATTGGCAACAGGTTATATAACTACCACAGTGGGGAACAGTCGCTAAAGCGTGATCCCTGCTACCTATCTTCAAAGGCTGGCTTAACTCCAGATTCGTCTTTCTGCTCATCTGTCTCCAAAAGTCAGTTCCAGAGGGCTGTTCCCCCAAGAGCTCAGGCCCTCATGTCCTGCTGCTCATGGGGATGTGTGTCTGTTCTATTAATTACTGTAGGGGTGACACATGTGGGTCCCATTACTTACTGTAGGGGTGACCCGTGTCTGTTCCATTATTTACTGTAGGGATGACACATGTGTGTTCCATTATTTATTGTGGCCCACGGCACACAACTCTGCCATTGTAAACACTTGGATTAAATTTGTCTAAGTTTCCATGTCTTTCTTTCCATATCCATTCGGAGTTCACCAGCTTTCCAGGAAGCGTATCTGCCAAGTTTGTGCTACCTCTTCACAGAATGGGCACCCCTGAAGCACTGCCCCCCTGCCTGCCTGGCTCTTCTCAGGAATCAGCTGTGTGCCTAGTCTCTTTTCTTCCTGCCCAACACAAGGCCTGGTAGCAATACCACCACTGGTGCCCATCGGGTCAATTCTGGCTCCTGGCGACCCCCAGGTATCAGAGTAGAACCGTGCTCCATGGGTTTCCCTCGGCTGGGTTTTCAGAAGCGAACCGCCAGGCCTTTCTTCCGAGGCAACTTCTAGACGGACTTGAACCTCCACCCTTTCAGTTCGCAACTGAGGTCATGGCAGTTTCTGCTGCCCGCTCAGGCTGCACGCACACTTCAAAGGAACGTTTTTTCTTTTCTGGAGAATGACACAACCACTGCTCTTTGACTGACGTGCTACCCAGCAGTGACTGCTTCCATGCGAAGACTGAAGAGACACAAAGGTGACACATCTGATGAAACCCATGTTGTTCTGTCATGTGTTTTCATTTCTCCCTCCACTCTAGAGACTGGGAGGAACTTTTCATCATCGTTTTTCTGGTGCAAACATTAGAAAAATAAACTCACTGCCCTTGAGTCGATGCCAACTCATAGCAAACCCTTGTGGGTTTCCTAGACTTTCATTCTGTATGGGAGTCGAAAGCCTGGTCTTCCTCCCACAGAGCAGCTAGTGGTTTCAAACTGCTGACCTTGTGGTTAGCAGCGCAAACCACTACGCTACCAGGGCCCCTAGGGTACAAGCATTATGAGGCCGTAACTTTTTTGCATCCACTTCTATACTCCCCATGTCACTGCCATCGAGTTGACCCTGACTCATAGTGACCCTACGGGGCAGGGTAGAACTGCCGCTGTGGGTTTCTGAGACGGTAACCCTTGAGGAGAGTGGACAGTTTCATCTTCCTCCCAAGGAGCGGCTGGTGGAATCCAACTACTGACCTTGTCTTTCACAACCCAAGGTGTAAGCACTACAACACCAGGAGACCTGCCACATCTAAGGTGACTAGCAAAAGAAACCCCAACAAACTGCCCCAAGACTGGGCACTTGCCTTCAGCTCATTGGTGTCAGCAAGTTTGGCTTTGAGCGCAATGTTCGATTCTCGGCACGCACTCAGCTCCTTCTGCAGCCTGTCCACCCTCTTCTCCAGCTTCCTGATGGTGAGCGTGGCCTCGTCCCTCTCCACAGCCAGGGCCGTGCGCGCCTGCTTCTCCTCCTGCAACTGGGCAATCTTCTGCCGGAGCAGGTTCATATGCAGCTCTTTGCTCTCCAGCCGTTCTCTCTGAGTCTTTAGCTGGCTCGAGAGAAGCAGGGGTGATTATTCCTACTATTACATAACTCAGCCATCAGTCAATGAAAATGAATGACCCAGACAATGTGGGTCTTTAACTCCATTGCAATAAAACTCATTTGGAACATTCCCCCTCATCCCCCATCCCACCCCTACTCCCCCGCCGACAAAAAAAACACAGCTACTGGGTTTCTTTGCCTGATTGCACTTCTCGGCACATGTTATCCAAGAGTTGGTTTTGGAGATGAAAAAGTAGGGGACAAAGGAGCCAGTAGGCAAAGGAGGTGCTTCCCAACAAGGCTCTCTCTCCAGCACTGTGCCCCATAAGCACAGTGAGAAGTGCTTTGAAAGCCAAAAAACACAGGTTTATCAAGAGCAGAGTAAATAATAAGGCACCAAAAATGCAAACTAAACGCACTGCCATTGAGTTGATTCAGACCCAGAGCGATCCTTCAGGACAGGGCAGAACCGCCCCTGTGAGTTTCTGAAACTGTAACTCTATATGGGAATAGAAAGCCTCGTCTTTCTCCTTCAGAGTGGGAGGTGGTTTTGAACTGCTGATCTCATGGTTAGCAGCCCAACTTGTAACCACTATGCTACCAAAGCTCACCAAAAACCAACTCACTGCCATTGAGTCGATGATGACTCATAGTGACCCTATAGGAACGGGTATAATTGTCCCAGGGAGTTTCTGAGGCTGTAACTCTTTGCAAGGGTAGAAAGCCCTGACGTTCTCCCTCAGAATAGCTGGTGGTTTCGAACTGCTGACTTTACAGTTAGCCATCCAACGTGTAACCACTATGCTGCCAGGGCTCAGAGAGACAAAATCCACCCCGATGCCGAATGGCAACTCTGTCTAGTCCAGTGTTTCTTAAGAAAAGGCAGGGTGTTGATTCAGGCTGCAAACACAGACTGGTAGAGTCCAGTCACCTATCCAAGTCTACTAATGCCACGCATGCACACTCGTGTTTTATTGATTTTTATGGTTTTAGTTTTTAATATTTAAATCTTTTTAAGAATATTGATTCCAGAAGTTTAATCATTGTGATTAGGATGTATTACAGAAATGCTTAACATTCTAATATTTTTTAAATTTTTCAGGCAGTTTTATTGGCATATAATTCACATACCAGACAAGTCAATGGTTTAAATGTATTAAAATGAGTTGAGCACACTGACGCATTTCTCAAGTCAGGCACACCACGGAGACTGCTCAGAATGCCTTGCTTACGTCGTTAGAATCTTAGAGGCAGAAGGGACTGACGGTCTTGTCTAGTTCGTCAATGTCCTGGGCGTGGGCCTCTCCTACAAGCTCCCTAAACCAAACGGAGAACAAGGCCCCGGAGCACCACTTACTGCTGGCCATCAACATCGATGAAGGAAATGATGGTGGGTTTTAAAAGAGATCCTGGTTGCTAAGAGAGGGGGTAAATCCTCTTGGGTTTCCCATGTCACGATTTGTGAGATGACTAGTAAGTGCTGAAACCTCTTGTCATCTGAGACAAATGCCGGATTCTGACTGTGTGGAATTGGAGAACGTGAGAACTGAAGCGCACCCTGTCGCCCTAATTACACACTCGCGCTCGTAACACGTTCTTTAGGGGCGTGCCAAGTACCCACTAAAGTGCCGGTTCCAGTATCTTGCCAGACAGCCACAGCGCACCTTCCAACCAGGAGCTTTGAACGTTTCTCTTAACTAAACTCCTACTATGAATTAAATTACCCCCAAACCCACTGCCCTGTGTTGATTCTAACTCATAGCAAACTCATAGAATCTCCCCTGGGGGTGTCTGGGATGTTTAACTCTTGACAGGGGCAGAAAGCCTCATCTTTCTCCCGCAGAGCTGTCGGTGGGGTCCAACTACTGACCTGGCCATTAGCAGCCAGCCCACTGCTTAACCTTCTTAGCATCAGGCTCCTCCATAGATTAAACTATGTCCCCTAAAAAGATGCTGGGCCTCCCTGTAGTTGTGAAGGTGAGCTTCTTTGGAAACAGGATTTTCCTTTTGTTAGCAGGTAAGCTAAGCAAGGTCCCAGGAAGAGGCTTTCAAGTGTCTGTGGGCAACAACAACAGCATTTGCCCACCGACTTCTTTGAAATACCTGGTATATGCGTAGGATGCTGATTCTAATCCCTCGTCATGATACTTTGCACAAGGGCGAGGGAGCCTGCATGGAGAGACACACTTACGGGGGATGGGGTCCCCAGCATGTCTGTAAGCAGCATAGGATGGTCAGCAGGTACCAGGAGAGAGACACAGGAGGAACTGATCAAGCAAACACCTTGACCAGACTTTCAAACTCCAGAACCGTGGAAGAATACCCTTCGGTTCTTTGAAGCTGTCCCCTTTCCAGAATGAGGCAGCTCTGGAAGGTTAAGACAGCTCCTTCCCCTGAGCGTCTTCCTGTCAAATTCCACCCTCCTGCACCTCAATGAGGAGCCCTGGGGGGGTAGTGATTGCATATTGGGCTGCTAACTGCAGAGTCAGCAGTTCGAACCCACCAGCTGCTCTGAGGGCATCAGCATTCCTTGGTGGTGGTGCGTTTGGTTTGGTTTGCACCTGGACACTGCAAGTCCTTACACGGGCAATTGTCATCCTTCTGCAAGACTTCAGAACAGACGGATAAGACACTGAAGAAGACGACCCTCCTCTGAGCAATTTGGGAAGGATTGTAGCTCAGTTCAATCTCTGTGGCAGGAACAGGAGCAGTCTGCTTTCTTTTATTCAATAATAATCATACTCCTAATAGTAAAGAGAAGAGGCCCAATCTGCATTGAGCATTTTCTAGGAGTCGTGAGTTCAGAAGTGTTACCACCCTATTTTAAAGCAAGGAACTCCTGCATGTTAGGTAGGTTAGCACCATGCCGCCCCTCACAATTAATTTCCTGTCCATGCTGTGTGTATTATAAGCATGGGCACATTGCTTACAAGAGCACATTCTATGTGGACTCTGCAGTAAGGTGGAGTATGGGGCCCTGGTGGTACGGTGGGTTATATATTGGGTTACTAGCCGCCGAGGTGGATTGAACCCACCAGCCTCTGAGGGAGAATAATGAGGCAGTTTATTCCTACAAATGTTTATAGTCTCAGAAACTGGAAGAGGCAATTCTACTCTGCCCTGTAGGATCACGATGAGGTGGAATCGACTCGATGGCAGTGGGTTCATACAGTAATCCCTAACTACCCCCCTGAGTGAGGGCTCATCATCATCTTAAATATGAGACGGAGAGGGGTGTCATTTGCTGAAGGGCACACAGCTGAGGGGGTGCCAAGTTAGAAGCACAGATGTGACTGTCACACAGGCGCCACACCATCCTCCTGGTATCACATTTCCTTGGGACTATTATCAGAACACATCTGTGTTTTCCTCTTTCTTCCCATACTACCAATAATTATGGAACCAATGATTATATTTTTATCCTAGTCATCCATTTATGTATTTAGTCTAAACTGCTTCGAAGGCAAAAGGAAGCTCTTCTCCTCTCTCCACTTCCCAGGGCAAAGGTAAAGATGGCGAGATGTTACCCAGCCCTCCCCTTCTCCTGTAGTCCTAGATGCAGCGAACTTTTCAGCTAGGCAAGTGGCTATCCAGGAGAAGGTCTACTTTTGCTGGCATCCCTTGAAGCTCGGTTTGACCATCAGGACCTCTTCCAGCTGGGTGATCTAAACACACGCAAGCCCACCTACCAGCTTTGAGAAACCTTCGTGAAAAGGCCACTCAGACATGTTCATTTGCCCCCATCTTAACCTCTTCCTTCTCCATCCTTCAACCTGGAGCACAAAGGTACCGCCTCTGGGCACCAACATGAACCACCAAGAGATGAGAGGCGAATGAACTGGAAGGAGCCTGGTTCTTGGGAATGTGATAGACAGAGCTTCCACGCCAGTCCTTAACTGCCACAGTCCAGAAGGCTATATGAAGGGAGAAAACGCTTTGACTTCCATGAGCAGTTTTTATTGGAGGACTCTGTTACTCAACGGAAAATGTAATTCTCAATAGTACCCCCCCAGCCCCTCGCACTTGAAACAGAGGTTTCAAGTAGCAAACTACTGTGCTCTTGATTCACGACAGTACACATAGTGGGGGTACGTCGGTGTTCGATGTCTGGGCTTCTCAGAAAGTCATCCCCTCCACACTAACCAGTTTTAACAGCCCTACCTTTCTCTGCAAATTGTGGGCAATCGTCTTGTTTTGAACGACGGCGTGGCTCTCGAGGCGGACCAGCTGCTCTGCACGAGCTAAAACTACGTCCAGACGCATGTCGAAGCCAAGTTCAGCAGCCATCTGGTCCAACTTCATCTTCTCGGAAAGCTGATCCAGAAATTTAAGATACTAAACCCAACGACAAAAAAATATGAAAATGGAACACAAACATAAAGTCAGTGAGTCATCTCACATAATCCTTCCTCTGGCTCAGCTGGAACTCACTGGCTCACAATAAAGCCAGATGGACCCTGAACCCCAAACCTGAGGCTTGGTAATGGACCAGGCATCTCCAGGCCCTACTCTACGTCTGTTCGAAGACTCTTGGCTTCTCCTGGTCGGTGACACTGATGCTCAAGATAGACTCACACATCCCTGTAACCCTACCCCAGGGTCCATGTGACGGTGCCCCAGATGGCGCCGTCGTCTCTCTGACCTGACCCCACGCTGCTGTGACATCATCTCTCCCAGGTTAATCCAGCCCATCTCCATAGGCACCCTTCTTTCCACAATAGCTTCTCCGACCCAGCTGAGCCTTCTCCTCCAGGAGGAAAATGGCAACTTCGCCAGTGTCCTTTTCCTCTCATTGATCTTATCTTAAAAGAACAAGATACAACAGTTGTGCCAATTCCGTCTCAATGCCAAGTCCATTCCAACTCAAGGCGGCCCATGTGTATCCCAGTAGGTTTACTGGATCTGACTTTCCAGAAGCAGATTGCCAGGCTTTCCCTGCGAGACGCCTCTGGATGGGCTTGAATCACCAACGTTCCACTTAGCCATGTTTCCCAGCCAGAAGCAAAAAAAAGAACAAGACAAACTCACAGGCATCAAGTCAATTCTGACTCGTGGCGACCCTACAGTTGAGGGTAGAACTGACCCTGTGGGCTCCCGAGACTGTGACTCTTTACGGGAGTAGAAAGCCTCATCCTTTCCCCAGGAGCAGCTGGTGCTTTTGAACAGCTGACCATGCAATTAGCAGCCCACTTGCTACCCAGAGACTCCAAATCATAGCTCTTCATACAAACAAATTTAGAATTGTTTCCCCTTTAAATGCTTTGGATAATGTCTTTATCCATTTTTAATGTACCCAAGTTAAATGAACAACCTTCTAAAACACACCTGGACCAAGGAAGTCAGGGTTCATATTGTAACAGGGGGAAATTGCAATGCTGACTTCTGCGGCTTATCTGGCCACAGAAGGAGCCTCGGTGGCCCAGTGAGTTATGCATTGGGTTGCAAACCACAAGGTCAGCAGTTCAAAACCACCAGCCACTCCATGAGAGCAAGATGAGGCTGGATGCACCTGCAAAGATTTATAGTTCCAGAAACCCACAGGGGCAGTTCTTTGTCCTATAGGGTGATTATGAGTCAAATGGACTTGAAGGCCATGAGCAAATGACCTGGACACACACATACAACCGTGCTGGTCACTAGATGGTCAACCCAGTCAAGGAACGTTCTACCCTTTAGTTTCGAGCCTTGGGCTCTCGCTTCATATGTTCTTCCTGTGGTAGTAGCCCTCATCCATCTGGCATTTGCTGGCAATTAAATGTTTAAAATATGTACAATCTCCTGACAGCCGAAGCATATCATCTTAAGAGCCCAAGAGTCTATCTTGTAGTTATCACAATGAAATTATGTGTAGGTGTGTGTTTTCTTATCTTCCTAAAGAGCACAGAGAGAAATACAGTTTAACCTCTTCCTTGTGGGTCATGGCCGTGACAGGGTGGGTTACATTGGGCTGCGATGCTACCCGTAGCTCTGGCCCCTCATCACACATTCTCACATTGTCCTGCTCCGTCCACTCTGCCCTGGGGAACTGACATTCCTAACTTGTATGTATGCAATGGGAAAAGCTACTGTTGCTTGTATTATTTTAATATGACGTACATGTTTATTTTTACAGCCTACACCCTTTTTCCTTCCTCCTTTCCTTCCTCCCTCCTTCCTTCCTCCACCCGTTAGTACGTGCCTACCATCTATTCAGGAGTCTACCTTCTCTTCCTTCCCCACCCTTGGTAACCATCCAAGAATGCTTCTATGTACATGAAAACCTTTTCTTGACTTTGTATAATCATGGTCTTATAAAACACTTGTCCTCTTGTGATCAACTTCTTTCATTCCACATAATCTCCTCCTTCATCCAGTTTACCAAGTTGTTGTTTGGTTATTTTACATAAAACTGAGTTGATACCTTTTCTGTGATGATATGAAAGCCTCTTTATTATTTATCTACTTTCTACTTCTACACGTGACCTACTCACTTAGCAAGCAAGGATCAATGAGGGGGCATTCAAAAAGTCTGTGGGAAACATGGAATTAGGAGGTAATGGAATTTTCCACTAACTTTTTGAAGCTGCCTTGTGTAAGAGAATTCTGCCAAGGCCAAGGTGGACCCCAGGCTAGCTGCATTTTTCCACAGAGGAAGTACCATAGTTCAAGAATCTTGGTGATGCCCAAGAGAGGCGAAACCCACAAATGAAACTCACTGCCATTGAGTCAATACCAACTCATAGCAATCAGGTAGGACAGGGTAGAACTGCCCCTGTGGCTTTCTAAGATTACAGCCCTTCCTGGGAGTAGAAAGCCTCATCTTTTGCCCATGTGGCAGTAGTGGTTTTGAACCACTGACCATGTGGTAAGCAATCCAACACATAATCACTCTGCCACCAGGGATCCTGCAGAGAGTCAAGGTTGCTAGGAATAAAGTATGAGAGTATATTTTGTACACTTGACTCACAGTCTGGAATGCATAAGAAAGGGTGCGCTATACCATTTTGTATAAATCCCCATTACCTACATGTCTACGTAGGGTAAACAGTTTTCACTGAACTATAGATCAATTGGCTTCCATAAACATCCGAACCAAGAGAGCCCTATGCCGCAGTTCTACTCTGTAACACATGGGTTGTCGCCACGAGTCAGAACTGACTCAGCGCCAAGGAAGAACAGCAGCATTTAAATTATGCACAATAAGAAATAAATAAAATGCTCTGGTGGTTACATTAACAAGGTAAACATAAGTAAATAAGTTCTGCACATTTGCATGTGCACGCTAG